AGCCGCCCCACTCCCAGGCTGGTTACAGGAAGCGCAGAACCAAGGCCTCCTCCCGGGACCTCCATCGCATCCATAATTTTAGTAGCTTGTTCCTGTGTCCATTTGTACATTCTCTATCTTCACTCCTTCCTCATCTCCCCCTTTGACCAGGAAGTTTGTTTCAAAAACTTCACAGAACAAATCAAACATTTTAAAGTCCCTCGTTGCCAGAGTGGCAACGCCTTATCTGGGCCCATCGTGTTCCTCCGAGGGGAGACATGGGCTAGAGCAGTAATGGCAAACCTTTGACACTTGTGTCAGAGATGACACACGAACTCATTTTTTGGGTCGATTTTTCTTTGTTAAATGGCATTTAAATATATAACATCAATATTCAAAATATAAATCTTTGGTTTACTATGGTTGCAAATATAAAAAAATTTCTATATGTGACATGGCACCAGAGTTAAGGAAGGGTTTTTCAAATGGTGACATGCCGAGCTCAAAAGGTTCACCATCACCGCCCTATGGGGTGATCGATTTAGATGCTAAGAGACTTCCTTCGACTCTGACATTCTAGGATATAAGGTTCTGTATGGATAGATGTGTATGGAAGTTTATACCCAATATTGTATAAATAATCTATTAGGGAAAGTATGGTAATTTCACTTTACTATCAAACTTACTTGAAAATTCCATATTGCTTTGAGTTTCCATTGCTTCCATGTAAAGCAATCCTGAAGGACCCACTCCTTGTCTTTTTTCCAGCGAGTGTGACTGATACCCTGTATCTCCAACCTGTGCAAAGAAAAGATACTATCAGTTCAATGAACTCATCTTGTTAGAAAAAAAAAATGACCCATGGGAGCATCCTTGTTCCAAGCTCTGAATCCCCCATGAGTGGGAGGTAAGGACGAATATAATGAATGGTTTCCTTCAATGCAGTTGGGGGGCCCAGGAATTCTGATGGTAGGTGGGGGTGAGGGACTCAGGGGGAAGTAAATATTGCAGCTCAGCATAATCTCTTGCTAACCCAGCCAGGAATTTGTTCCGATGGATGGAGGGCCACTGGTTACTATACCCAGGTACCCAGGTGCCCACCACTGACTGTACCAGAAAGACCACTGGGATAGGGAGATGACTGGTCTCCTACATTTGGATAAATCACTTACTGTTGCCTTCTTTGGTTTTATTTTTGTTATTTTCCCATGCCATGGACATATACTCAATGGGAAAATAACACAAATAATTTTTTAAAAAATGAATAAACCCTTTCTCCGCTCTCTGTCTACCTGCCCTCCATCTCAGGGTCTTTCCAGTTTGGTCTGTAGACTTAACTAAGCCCTGCGGGGTGATTTACTGCCCGGGGACAATTGGCATTGTCTGGAGATGTTCTTCATTGTCCCACCCAAGGAATGGGGTGGGTGGGTGCAGGGCTACTGGATTCTCGCTGGTAGAGGCCACGGATTTGCTAAACATACTGCAATGTACAGGACAGCTCCCCAGTAACAAGTGATCCAGTCCCAGATTCCAGTAGAGCTGTTTGGGTACCCTGGCCTACAGTTCTCTATGAGCATTTACACATACACATATGACTGTATAAAAAGTTAGGCTTTTGCCTGTATGGTATGGCTCAATGGGTCAGTGTTGACCCATGAATCAGGCAATTTCTGGTCAGGGCACAAGCCCGAGTTTCGGGCTTTATCCCAATGATTCTCTCTCCTCACTGATGTTTCTATTTTTTCCTGTCTCTCCCTTCATCTTTGAAATTTATAAAAATATATAGGCTTTTTCCCCTTCCGTAAAGAGGATGCACTGCTCTTCTCTATTCTCTCCATCCATCCCCACGCCAGACTGACTCACCGCCCTTCCCTGTCCTGTCCTGTGCTCCATAAGGTCGGCCCCACCAGGGGTCCTTGCCGCTGGCTTTCCCGGGGGTTCAGCCCATCAGAGGCTTGCACAGGAGGCCAGCGGCAGGAGGAGGGAGATGAGGTGCTTGCTCCCCTGCAGCCTCCTTGCTCTAGTACCAGGGTCTGGCAGTAGCTGCCTTCACTCCATTCCTGGAGCCCCGCAGCCACTATATTCTGGGCGCTCAGCATCCCTCGTTTGTTCTTCCAACCCTGTCCCCTCCTCCGAACGCGGGCCCTCCAGTGAGGTCTCCTCGTTGAACCACTAGAATGAGCTCTGTCTTCTGCAGAGACCCTGACTGGAACAGGGTATATTCCGTGATGGTTTGCTATTTGCCTTTTCACTTAATATGCCTTAGAGGTTTCTAGATCCTTCCTTGACTGGTTACATACAGGATGTGGTTAACAAGTGGTGGATATCTGGCTTTCTCCCCGTGCTCTCTTGGTATTAAAATCAGTGCTGCGGTGAACATCCTTGAATACCTTCTCCCGCACACATGCAAGCATTTTCCTAAGGTGCGTCTGACTTAAAGGAATATGCTTGTAAGACTTTATAGATACTCCCAACTTTTATCGTTTATGCTAAGTGTCATATTGAATAAATATTACATGAAATACTATCAGAAAGCAGTGTTTTGTGAAGTGCTGCATAAATGCTTTTCAATGTAAAACTCCCTTGGAAAATACATGCTTTTCTGTTCAGCCATCATGTAATGTTAATTAAAACAAATCTTGATGCTTTTACTATCCTCTTTTTAAGTGAGAAGCTGGGCAAAATAACACCAAAAAACACAGCATGCTCACATGTGTGTAAACAGGGGGACTAGCATGGTGGATAATCACGGGGTGCCTTTGCCCCATCTTGCCTTCCTCTGTTAATGGATCCGTCCTTCCTGCCACAGGGTTGGGGGGACATGTGACCAGCCTGGGCCATTCACGATCGACCTACTCCACTGGTCAGGATTATTGGTTAAAGGGGTGAACGTGAGAGGCAAGACAAATGCCATTCTACCGTCCTTCCATTATCTTTTAAGCTGGCTGGTGTTGAGTTTCTATCCATTGCTCCCAAGGGTCCTAACTAACAAGGTTGATACACCTTTTAAAATCATTTGCAGCTTTTAAATGGGTACAATGGAAACTTACGAGCAAAGTTACCACTCGCTCCTGTGTTCAGGAAAAACGTTTGTCCCACTGCGCTGGTGTTGCCCTGAAATTGGTCCGCATAGTGCCCCATTTTGGGGCATCCTGTGACTGGACAAGGAAAACAGCCATTCTAGAGGATAAACAGAAATTTGTCTGTGAGTGGTAGGCCTTTCACTCATTCACTCACTCAATTGATCAATTCATCTTCCCATCCATCCCTCCCTCCCTCTTTCAATCATCCACTCATCCATCTAATCATCTTCCTATTCATCTGTCCCTCTACCCTCCATCCATTCATTAATGCATGGTTCTCACCTATGCCATGCAGGCATCCTTTGAGAATTTTTCAGAATGAAAAGTTGGGGATCTAGGGATCCTCGTAGGAGGCACAGGGGGAGCCCAGGAAGCCGTCGGGGTAGAGGATGCTGCTGGAGTAGTACTTGTAGCTTCTCAGGTGATTGCAGGCCAGAAGGTCTGGGGTTCCTGAGGAAGTAAAAGCCACAGGAGCTCACAGGAGACTCTCACTTTTGAAGCTTGAAAGTTCTGATCTGAATAAGGAGTCACCTCCTCATTTCATAGAGGGGAGTCAGCACTCCTGAAGGCCTGGGTCACAATTCCAAGTTCCTGTCATTGACTTTGACATACTTTGGGGCAAATAGTTACTGATCAACATTTACAGCACATAGAGGTGGTATCTGGGGCTTCTCTAGTCATGGGGTTTGGCTCTGGTCACTTTCCTCTGCCCCCCACGTGCCTGTGTGCTGAGCAGGGCCTACTTGGGACTGGGTACGTGCTGAGGAAGGATGATTTCTAACAAGGACATGTACTCATCCACCAGGGGCCAAGCATCTGACAGAAGTAAAGGATGATGGCTGGAAGCCTTGGGGAGAGTGAGAAAAATATATACAGAAAGGAGAGAAAGAGAGAGGTGGGGGAAAAAGAGAGAGAGAGCGTGGGGGCGGGGGAGAGAGAGAAGGAAAGAGAGAAAGAGAGAGAGAGAGAGAGAGAGAGAGAGAGAGAGAGAGAGAGGCAGTAGCTTTCAAAAGGAATCTTACACCGTCAGCCAGTTGTTGAATGTTAAGGCCCAGATTGCTTGGTCTTCTGATTTTTCATGAGAAACCTGCATCGTGACTTTGACATGACAATGTTCCATGCTTACATGACAGCAGTGCATTCCCTCTTTAAAACCGCTCCCTGTGAAGCCGCACCACCTGGTACTGTGGGCAGGACTGGGCCAGGGGCCCCAGTTTTTTTGGTTTGTTTTTGTTTTTGTTTTTTCATTTCTCCATTTCCTTGGTATAAAACCTCCCATCGCGTGATGCACAGTGACCCCAGACACACCTGGGGACCACTTCGGGAAGGTCTGGGGGTCCTCTTTGTGCTGGTGGATTAGCTCTGCCTGCCCCAGGGCCCAGTGACTCCTGCACCAACACTCATCACCAGACAACACAACCTGTTTCTAAATTAATTGTTTCTTTCACCCAGAATTGCTGCCCTGGGATCCATAATAGAGGTGCAAGTGGATTTAATTTTTCCTCCAGCCCAGCGCTTGGGTGACTGGGAGCCCACACCATAGACGCACATTCTGTGGGCTTCTTCACTCTGAATTGCCTCTTTCATTAAAGCTGGGCTCCTTGCTATTATGTGGGCCCTGCTGGTGACTTCTGGAAGGGGCAGCCTCATTGTGACTCAGTGTTCCTTCAGCTGGGTCTTCCCTCGAGTTACCTTGTTCTGGGCAGAGCGCTCAAAGGCTCCATTGGCTGAGGATGGATGTTGGCTACTGCTTTATCCACTCTATTCGTTCACATTAAGCACATGGAATATCCAGTGCCACAGAAGGCCTCTCTGCCCAGTGGAGTGGGCTGTAATGAGCGCCTGCTCTGGGCCAGGCCCTGAGCAGGGTACAGGGTTGTCTGGGATGCCCGGGAAACTCCCAGCGGAGACAAATAAACACTAAAATGAAATTATGGCAGACTCAAACCTCCATGTGCAGGGGGTAGATGAAGCCTGGTCTCCAGGGAGAGGCAACAAGAGAAGAGCAGAGGCCAGACAAGGACAGGTGATGGAAGTGGTGCTTAAGTCACCTAATCGTAGGGGGACTGAGCCTGTCTCTCATGGAAACGCACACCTCATGCGGACGAAAAAGGGCCCACATCCTAAACCTGACAAACTCAGGGGAGGCCTGCACGGTGGCCTTACAAACTCAGAGGCTGAAAGTAACCACGTGGGGTGGGCTGAACATAAAAATTCCTAATTAAAAGTTGGTCATGGAGGGTAGTCCTGTCCCAGGCCTAGAGCTTCTTTGACAAAGGTCAATCCTTTCTTTTTTAATCCTCACCTGAGTATATGCTTATTGATTTTAGAGAGAGGAAGGGAGAGAGGGAAACATCAATGTGTTCCCTCCCATATGTGTCCTGACCAGAAATCAAACCCAAAACCGTTTTGGTATCTAGGACAAAGCTCCAACCTACTGAACCATCTGGCCAGGGTGACGAGGAATCTTTACCTTAAGTGAAACTGTTTTCTTTTTGTATCTAAGAAAATGCACCTTTTAAATATAGAAGTAATCTTTTCCAGATCCCTCAGGGGACCCCCTTAAAAGAACACCAGGCCACAGAACTCCTCACTGTGACCTTGTTCCCCAAATACCACCTCTATGTGCTGTCCATGTTGATCATTAGCTATCCTGTTCCCACCAATGGAAAAGAATGTGTCTCTCTATTTTACTGTTCATCCAATTCTAGAGATTTCCCATTTTACTTTCTTCTCCCCCTCCCTAATCTACCACCCCTGGATTTTGTGGAACCCCTATGTCTCCTCTTTTTATTCTAATGTATAAAATAAGCCACAAAACTGCCTTTCTCCGGAGCATGTTCTCAGTCCGTTGAGATTTTGCTTCCCAGCAATTGTCGTCAGTTTGGTTCCAATAAACTCATAAAAATTCTCTACAGGTTTGGAATTTCTGACACTGACACGCACAAGCCTCATTCCACCTAGACCTCCAGGCTGCCTACTCCATGCATGAGCTCCCCAAACCCACGGAATATGTCCCCACTCGGGGACATATTTTTCCAGCTCAGTCCCTTTCCTGTCCTAGCACCTTCCCACAGCAAAGGGTAAGAACGTCAAAGCCCTGCAAGTCTTTGTGGGCGCTCTTCTAGGAGCAAGCAGTGCAAGCAGCTGGGGTGGGGGTGGGCACAGCTACAACTGGTATTTGCCAACGTGCCCGTCCAGCTCAGGCCTCAGCATCCTCATGAGGGGGGACAACACAGGCTGCGGACTCAAGGGTCCCAGGTTCGATTGGGTATGAGATTGGGACTTTGCAGTCTGAAACTGAACTTTAATATAAGGCGGCCTTGGGCGAGTTTGATGACTGTTCAGACCCAGTTTCTTCAGCTGTAACATGGGGATAAGCAGAGTGATTCCCTCATGGCGCTGTGACACTGCCGGGGACAGAATTAGCACGCAGTATATGGAGGCAAATTCAGTGCTACTAGGGCCCAGCATGGAACCTGCCTTCTCCCCAGGGAGGGCACTGCCATCTTCCTTTGCTAATGCACGTACCTTTCCAGAATCCATTTATATCAGAAATGGATGAAATGATATTTTTCTCACATCCGGGCATTTGTTGTCCTCCGTTTGGATAGAAATCCAGATGGCCCACCTTCTGGCTCATTCCAAAACCTGAAATATTGGAAGCGGTGGTGAGCAGGGAGGGAAAGGGTCCTGCAACAAGGTCATGGCCCCAGAGAGCGTCCAACTCCTTCCGACCAGAGCGAGAGTCTTCTTGGCAAACTGTCCCCTCAGCACAGCCACCCCACGGGGCTTTGCAGAGCCCTCTCCAAGATGAGCCCGTAGCAAGACAAGGAAGGGGGAGTGAGCAGAGGCAGTGAGCATGCCTACATGTGTATTTGCATGTGTGTTTGTCTGTCTGTCCTGGGGAGGCTGTGAACAATACTGATATCCCCTGATACCATTATGCATCATAGACACCTATCAGGACTGGTGCAATTCCCAGTCCTTTACTCATTCTGAAATTTTGATTTCTATGTTAGAAGGTTATGCTGAGATCTCATTGTTGTATTGAGAGCCCAGCATAATGTCTGGACGCTTTGGCTTTTTAAGCACACAGACCCGTGATCACATCCGTGTCCTATTTACACACTCCGTGGTCTTGGGCAATTACTAAAGCTTTTCAAGCTTCAGTATCCTCAGCTATGAAACAGTAATAATAATGCCCACTTTCTAGTGTTGTTACCATGATTAATGAGGGGGTATGTACAAAATGTTCAATGCAGCCCATGGTAACCATCACTATTATTAAAAATATACCCTTTGTAGGCATGTTTCATGATGTCTTACATAAGAAAATATTGAAAAAAGATCCTTGAGTTTATGTAATATAAATTTTTTACATAATTTTATCTATTTTAACTTTTATTTCTTTAACAACTCACCCATTTTATTTTAGAAGCATTAAATAATGGAATATATTTCTTTGCCAACAACACAAACTATATCCAAAGTTTCCACAAAAGAAGTGAGAAAAATATTCAAACATTAACATTGCATTTTGCAAGTATAGGTCAAGCATCCTATAGAATAAAACCCTAATATGCAAATCGACCAAACAGCAAAGCGACCTGTCAATATAATGCCCACTGACCACCAGAGGGCATCCGCTCAATGCAGGAGCTGCCCCCTGGTGGTGAGTGCCCTCCCACAGGGGGAGCACTGTTCAGCCAGAAGCTGGGCTCACAGCTGCCAACCTTGAGGGAGCCTCTCCCACCAACAAGGGAGGCAGCACTAAGGAGCAAGGAGCCTGGCTTCTGGCTGGTGAGCACAGCAGTGGTAGCAGAAGCCTCTCCTGCCTCTGCAGCAGCACTGAGGATCCTTAACCCCTCCCCTACCCCTGCCCCACCAGTGCAGGAATGGATAGTGGAGCCCAGGGAAGGTCACAGGGTTGAGGACTGAGCAACAGCCTTCCATAAGCTACACCACTGTGTGTCTGACCTGCCTGGGCCACAGGCTGATACCACTGGCACTGGGCTGGCTGTTTATTTGTAGCTGGAACCCACTTTGACTGGTTGGCATCCAAGCTATTACTGTAGTTAACCGCGTTGAATATGCCTAGCACACAGCCCTGGGCAAAGGAGACAGCCATCACACTGTTTGCACAGTGACATACACACGGGACTCAGCGGTGTCTGTGTCTATGTCTTGTGTGCCTTCATTTGCCTCGTGATTCATTCATTCATTCTTATTATCTGCCATGTGCTTCCTGTGACAGGTCTCAGCTACTTTCATTTTGCCTGTAGCTGACACAGCCACGACCATTAATATTTGTGGAACTGATGAATTTGTATAAAAAACCCATTTCACTGTTCAAAAATCTGCCGTACTCTAGCAATAATAATCCTGAAGTCATGAGTTGAATGTGCTAGTTATATATTTCTTTTTTAATAAATGTGTTTTTATTTACAATCCTATATGTTTTGTAATTCACATGAAAATGTATGGGCAATTATTTTTTAAATCTAAGTCTGGCAGCACCTAAAATTAGTGTCCCCGGATGACCAGTGGGGGCGCCCTTGGCCATGAGAAGTGCCTGTGTCTGGGCTTCCACTGCCCTGCAGGCTGGCCCCCATCATCCCACCCAACCCCACCCTCGCACCCCTTACCTGTGATCCTGCCCACGCAGCCCCCCAGCCTCCTGCCCGCCTCGCCAGCCGCGTGTGCACCCAGGCTGTGGCCAATGAGGTGTACGTTCTCCAAGCTGTAGCCCATCTTGGTCTGTGGAAGGATAGAGTGTCAGGGCCCCCAGGCCTGAGTGGGGACACCCTGGCTCTCAGAAGCGGATGGGGACAGGTCTCAGGAGGAATGGCTTGGCTCCGGGAACACCTAGGACAGACTGACCTGACTCTGGGCCAGCACACTCTCCAGAGTCATCAGTCTTGGTGCCCAGGCTTTGAGGTGGGGGGGCGAAGGGGAGGTGACAGTGCTGACCATCGGCCTCTGTGTCCACTGCAGGCGGCCTGGGGAGCCTGGCCAGGTGCTGCCTGCTCCATCCACACCCACCGCGGCCTCCCTCCCCTCCCGCAGGGCCTGGGCCTGCCTGGAGAGCCTGGGTAGCGGGCCCAGCTCTGGGTGCTCGGGAATAGACCTTCCAGAAGGCGGTAAGGGGTTTCCCCTTTCTGAGAAAGAAGACCCATCTTCTGGGCTGACAATTCCCAGAACAGCCTCCAAGGACAGCTTATTTCAAAAGGGGAAACCGAGGCCCAAAGTGGTTCCTTTGCCCCAGGCCACTAGGGATCTTCAGGACACTCCAGGAGGGGAAGGCTGCAGTTTCACTTTAGGAAATGCCCCTCTGTGTGTCCAGGCTTCCAGGCCCAGCCCCTGCGCACCAGTCCCCAGGCGGCCTCTGGGTGCACGGGGTCTGCCTGCCCCCTCGGGCCCCTCCCCACAGGATGGGCTCAGGCGGATTTACCGACAGCCCTTCTATTAAGAACGCTGTCTCGGCTCCCACGACTCGAATGTTGTGGACGGCTTGGTTGTAACCTGTCCTGGCCCCACGCTTCCAGTCCACGCAGATGCAGTTCACCTTCTCCACCTTAAACATTTTCTGGGGAGAAAAAACAAGAGGGAGAATCCGATGTATTAACAGGCACAGGCCGCACATTCCAGAGACAGGAATTCACAGCCACCAAGCATCTCATTTGTGTCAGAGTTTTCATATTCCTCCCACTTGTCCTAATCCTCACCACTTCACCAGGAACTCAGTACCTGATCCCCACTTAACAGATGTGAACACTGAGGCCTGGAATGGAGTGACTGGCTGAAGGTCTCCCAGATGGTTATTGACACAGCCAGGCAGAAAAAGGATCGCTTACTACATCAGGGCTTAGCCAACTGTTATGGGGAGGCCAGATCCACCTGCTCATATAAATCAAGTTTTATTGGGAACAGCCACACCCCTTTGTTTACATATTCTCTCCCCTCTGCTTTGGAGCAACAACAGGGTTGAGTGAAAACCATATGACCTGCAAATGCTAAACTATTTACTACCCAGTCCTTTACAGGAAGTTTGCTGCCACTGTACTAGTTGCTGAAGCCACGGGAGGGCTGCCCTTATGTTCCCAACAATGCGTAGGGGGAGCTAGAAGGTATTAACAGACAAGATGACATGTAGATGGAGGTAGCTACAACTCTGCCCACATGTGCATCTTTTATATTATGTGGTGTGGCCGCCGTGTGCTGCCCAAGCTCAGACTGGTCCTGTGATGGGACCAAATAACTGTCAGAAAGAGCCACTGCAGAGCCTGTGTTCATTCGAGGATGGCCTGGACTACCCTGGGGAGTGAGGCAGGGAGGTGTGGCCTGGAGGCCAGGGCCTGGGGATGGACACGTCCCCCTGGCTCTCCCAGCTCCACGTTCACATGGCCTCCTTCTGTGACTTGGGGGCACGTGTGAACACCCCAACCTCCAGAGGAGCAGCCCACCCTTGGGAAGAAGCTGCTTGAGGTCTCTCCCAGTGCAGACTATGCAGAAAGCCATGCCCATGGGCTCCTCCTAAAGACTAAATCTGTAGACACAGGTTGTGGTATTTTATAGACAGGAGACCTGGCTTTGCATTCCCACCTCTGGATTCAAGCCTGGGGAAGGGTTGAACTTTTCCTGCCTTAATTTTCTCATCTATAAAATGGGAACAATAACTCTACCTTTCTCACAACGTTGCTTGTGGCAGGGGGTGGTCAAACGAGACAAAGACTGTTAAATAATGATCATAGTGTCAGGCTCAGAGGAAGTGCTAAGAAAATGGATGTTATGAATAATCATCCTATTTAATAAAAGAGTTATATGCAAATTAACCATCACTCTGTCGGTCACAAAGATGGTGACGGCCACGGAGCTGGAGTAAGCAGGAGGCTTGGGTTGCCCCTGGCGATGGAAGAAGCCAAGTTTCCTGCCTATGCTTGCCCGCACTGGGCTCCGCTCAAGGCTACATAGTTTCATTTATAGAAGATAAATAAATCCCAGATACCTGCTTCCAGCCGGCAGTGGCCTCTGCTCAAGGAGAGACTTGGAGCTGGGTTGCCAGAGGGTGTGGCCAGCCTGAAAATGGCCATTATCCCCTCACCTAGGCAGGCCAGGCAGCCCAGTGGGATCCCCCCACCCTGAAGGGGCTGTGGCCAGCCTGAAAACAGCCCTCAGCTCCTCGCCCAAGCTGGCCAGGCAGCCCAGTGGGGACCCCCTGAAAGGGGTGTGGCCATCTTGAAAACGGCCCTCAGCCCCTCACCCAGACTGGCCAGGCACCCCAGCAGGACCCCCACCCTGATGCGGGACACCCTTCAGGGCAAACCAGCTGGCCCCCACCCGTGCACTAGGCCTCTATCTATATAATAAAAAGTTAATATGCTAATTAGACTGGGACACCTTCCAGTGCCTGACTGCCAGCTTAGGCCTGATCCCCTGGGGAGCAGGTCTAAGCAGCAGGTGAACATCCCCCGAGAGGTCCCAGACTGCAAGAGAGCACAGGCCCGGCTCAGGGACACCCTCTCTCTGAGTGCACAAATTTTTGTGCACCGAGCCTCTAGTTCATTACTAAAATTCATGATAACTTCAAAACTGCACCATCCAATACTATGGCCACTAGCCCCAGGGGGCTATATACAATGAATGAAAGTCCATTCAATTTAAAAGTCAAATCTTTGGTCACACTCCCCGCATTTCAGGTGCTGGGTGGGCGCAGGGGAGCAGTGGCTCCTGGTTGGGACATGATGCCATGGAGCCTTTCTGCCCTCACAGAGAGCTCTGGGGGACAGAAGGGTTTCAGGGGCCACATTTACGTAGGTTTCTAATGCCACACAGAGGCTTTCCATAAACCACCCGAGACCAATGCCAGGTAATTTGCTGACACCTCTGCTTCTGGGGTGTTTTGGTTGGGCTCTGGGTCTCTTTGGTTCGAGAAGAGAGGACGGGCTACAGGTCTGTGGGTCGGGAGAACTTGACAGTGGATGCTCTGGAGGACCCAGGGTTTCCTCGGAGTTTTGAGGAAGGAGCATCTGTTCCTGGATGGTCTGCGTTCCCAGTCTCGGGGGGCAGTGACCAGGAAAGTGTTTGAAGTTGGGTGCTGGGTGCTGCTCTCAGCGGGGAGTGGCCGGGGGCAGGACCCTACCTGGCACATGTCCGTCAGCCATGTCTCCTCCCCCTTGCTTATGAAGCCGTGGATGATGAAGCGTGTCTTGCGGTCCAGTTGGAAGTTTGAAGCGTTCACGGTTGCCAGGTCCGTGGAGGAGATCCGCTGGTTAAAGTGGAAAAGGTGAATTGGGATGTTGGCCTTTCCAAGCCAATGGCCTGTGAGAGCCAGTTCCAGGGAGACTGGGTCACGGGATCAGCTCCCACGAAGTTGGGTGGGGCTAGAACAGGAGTTCCTGCCCTGGGGTTTGAGGACAGGATTCAGAAGATTCACAATCATGGACTTCCTAGCATTTCTGTTAATTATGAAATTGGGCAACAAGCCACCGTCATCATAACAGCACTCTGTCCCCAATGGGAGTCACGGGTATTTTCATGTCAACGAACAGTGGTCACAGATGTCTTAAAAATCAGTTATTCTCATTACTATTTTAAGTGCCCATAGTAAGACCAACCCGTGGATCTTGATATTCAGTGAGATAATAATAAAGCAGCATATATATGACTGGGACATATATTTGTGATTTTAAATGTTCTGATAACTGTTTTTCAATATAATTGGTTTCCTTTGCAATCCAATGTTTTTTATTTCGTATTTAAATACATCACCCTGAGAAGGGACCCCTCGTCTTTCCCAGATGGTGGAAGATGTTTCTAGAACAGAAACAGTGAAGGACCCCAGGCCAGAAGCACCAAAATGAGGGTACATGTGGCTCAGTGGAGCCACAAAGGGCACGTCTAGCTTGTAGCACTTAAGAACTGACGCCTACCTGCCAGGGACTCCTTCACGAGCCCCCTGGGCACCACGCCTGAGGAATGATCAGAAGATAAAAGTAGCCCAACCAGCAGTCCAAACGGACTGCCAGCTGGGGGCTCTAAGAGGGAGTTTGTCACCTACAATCCCACTGCAGCCGGCCTCAGGGATGGATGGCCAGTCACCTGCTCTCCAAACTGTCAGGGGTGGAGCTGTGAGCAGCTGAGCTCTGAGCACATTCTTCCTGGTCACTTCGAAGCATCTGGAAGAGCCTGTCCTGCCTCCACCCGCAGGCCTTCTGGGGACTGGAGGTCACTCCCAGGGTCCTTTTTGCTTTTGTGGTTAGATGACCCCTCCCACTCTGGCCAGAGTGATTCTGTGGTCAGAACATTGGCCCATGCACCGAAGGGTAACGGTTTGATTCCCAGACAAAGGCTTGCACCTGGGTTACAGGTTTAATCCCAAGCTGCAGTTGGGGCTCATATGGGAGGCACCCATTCAATATGTCTCTCTCACATCAATGTCTCTCTCTCTCTCTCTCCCTCCCTTCCACTCTCTCTAAAAATCAATGGGAAAAAATATCCTCGGGTGACCCCCACCCTCATTCCCTGAGTGGCTTCTCTCCTCCCACCCGCAGTGCAGGAGAAGATGGACACACCAGGCCTGGATTCCCGATAAATGCTGCTCCTACCCACTTCCTCCCAGGATCGGGGGTCAGTGCCAGGAAGGCCTGTGCACAGTATGTGGAATGTGGGCGTTTCTGGGCCCGGCACCTATAGACCTGATCAGTGTTTCCCGATCCTGAGAGCTAAGGTGGCTGCCAGTGGTGAGGGAGCATTGCCCGGACTCCCCCTCACCCCTCACCCCCCGACTGCCGTGCCTTTTCCTTAGACAACCACGTGCTGACACCAGTGTGGGCGCCCCATACGCCAGTGTGGGTGCCCCACTCCACCCGCCCTGCAGTCCCGCCAGGCCCCTCTTACTTGGTAGCTGTTGGGATTCTCATTTGTGTAGAGAAGAAACCGGGTGTTGATGAGCTTGGGGGGCCAGGGGAATAGCTTCAGGGGCCGCTGTAAGATCCCCGTCCATGGCTTCTCATCAGGGAAGCAGCCGAAAGGTTCATAGCAGACCTCCTTTCCTGGGGCAGAGAGAGCAGCACAGGGGACACTGTGAGTTCAGAAAAGGAGCGACCTCGCCTCAGCTACACAGGAGGCGTTTCAGGGTGCATCCTGGGCTGGCGAGGCCAATGCTGGGCTCCACCTGCTGTCAGTGCTCCCCAAATTCCACGGAGACAAGAATCACCTGTACATGCTCCCAGCGCCTCCCTGGGCGATTTTGATTCGCAGGGAGATAAGGGGGGCACCGGGAAGTGCTTGTTTCATGCTGTTTACACCCTGATCATCAGGCCAGAGGGGGATTGGCTGAGCTTCCTGGCAACCTTCTGCCTTAAAACTACCTCTTCCGGGAGAGCCCCAGACGGCCCTTTACATGCCATCACCGGCATCAGGGATGACAGCGCCTGCGATTCTGTAGCGCAGAGATGCTGCTGGATGGACCCTGATGCTGGCGCCACACCCAGCACAGCAGCTGATCCTGGGTGCGGTCCAATCCCCTTGTCTTCATGTCACCCCTTGATGCACATTGTCCCCCAATTATTCTCTGTCATTTCAGGTTTTCCCTGTTGTTCTCACAAAAGGTACATTTCTTAATGCCAGGGATGACGGATTTTTGCATCATTCTATATAGAACAGAGGCTCAGTACACACAACCAATCATCTAAGTCTGAGTGTCCTTCCTCTATTATACGGCACAAGCATTTTGACAGAGAGTGCTCACTGAGGGCACATGCTCAAATCCAGAGGATTTCAATGGCTCTTCTCCCTTTGGCTTCTTCAACTCTGAAGCTGATGGTGCCAGGGGTTGACCATTCACTCAAAAAGTGACAATAGTCATCAGTTTTTACCACCTGAAGCAAGAGTAGACTGTTTACTCTGTGCCAGGTACCACACTAGTGCTTCACCAGTATTACTCCCTTTAAGCCTCAAAATAGCCCATGACTAAGGAATTACTTCCATTTTACAGGTGGGAAAACCAAGGCACAGAGAGACAAAGTAAGCTGCTCAAGGTCACAGCCAATGGTGGGGCCAGGATTTGAACTGGGGGAGTTTAATTGGGAATGAAGCTAGGCACTGAGGTGATGGAAAGACACATCAGGTACAAACCCTGCCTTGAGCGAGAGGAAATCTTACAGGGAAAGAATCATGATGACCTTGACTTCCTTCCAGGAAGAGGGACCAGTCCCCGAAGAAGGGCTGCTGGGGCTAAAGCAACTCTTGCTTCAGGTGGTAAATGCAGGAGCTTGAAGGACAGGGTCAGGCACCTGGGCTGTGAGGTGGATAGTGAGTGGGAGGTGCTGGTGAGTGTGGTGTGACTTGTGCTCCATGAAGGTGTTTTCGGGAACCCAGTGTGGGTGGCTCAGAGGCAGGAGAGTCTGGGAGAGTTGGGAGTTGGAGTGGGCCAGTACAGGGGTGGTGGGTCTGAGAGGAAACAAGTATTCTAGTCTTGGGTGACAGTGGAAATGAATGGAAGGATGGAGAGATGGGGTAGGGAGTGGTGCCTGGGCCTGGACAAATGAGTGTGAGGTGTGGTGGGAGGCCCTGGTGGAGCTGCCTCGAAATTGGAGGAGAGACAGGGAGGTCGGTTGGAGCAGAAGCTGGGCAAAGGGGAAGCCACAGGCAAAGGGCGAGGAGAGCACCGGGAGTGACCTCTGTTGACTGCCCAGATTTAAGGAAGGAGGAGGCAGAGGAGGAGCAAAGGAGACCAAGAGGGGCCAGAAATGCCCGAGGAGCATCCAGACCTGGGTGGGCTCTGTCTCTGGAGTCAGGTCCTGCTGCGTGGCCAAGATGGAAGGGAGGCCTAGAGTGGGCTGGGCGAGGGGAGGAGGAAAGGAGGACCCCCGGTGCAGAAGGAAGCCCAGCAGAAGGGACGCCAGAGGAAAGGCTCAGATTGGAGCTTGAGAGACAGAGGTAGCAACAGAGAGGAGTGATGGGGAGGGAGGGACAGGAGGGGGCACTCATGCTGCAGACACACACTTGTCCACGCAAGGGACTGAGGGTTTTGGGGGCCTGTGGAGAACACCCTCCCCCAACTCCGCTGCCCAACAGCCTACCACTTGGGTCACCCCATCACAGCCCTGGAGGAAAAGGGCGGATGGGTCCCCAGGTTCATCTGTGTCCAAGATGTTGCCCCATGTTTGCTACAGCGTCAACACTCCCCCAATGGTGGCAATTGTTGTTTTTGTTGAAATAATGATAACGCTGTTCATTATGATGATAATGATGATGAGGCCTCTAGCTGCCCCACCCAGAGGCCAGCCCAGGCATGGTCCCTTCCTCCCCATGGGGATGGGACAGCACCCTCACCTCTGACGGTGGCCAGCAGGAGGAGAGCGATGATCCAGGAGGGCAGCATCTACATGGATGAAAACACAGACAGTGGGGACCTTCGCCAGGGAATCCTGGTGCCTGGGTCCCATCACGCTGTCCCTCCAGGTGGGGACCCTGAGGCTGAGGCCTACCCACACAGGGAGACGGCAGCACCTCTGTGGAACCCGGATGCAGGATCCTCCCAGCGCAGTGGCTGCTCCTCTGGGCCATGTCCCTCTGGCTGCCCAACCCTGCCAAGCGCCCTACCCAGGCAGAGCCATGACTTACTGTGTGACACCTGTGCTCCACTCAGCCTCAGAGTGGCAGTGGCCTTTTATAACCAGGCTTTGTCCGTTGGACTCTTTAGAGGAATTACCGGAAAATGGATAAGTGTGCTTTGCACCGAGATTATCATAAACATATATGATGGGAACAACAGGGAGCAGAGCTATTTAAAATGAGATCAGAGAGGGAAAGAAAAGACTTTGGGACAGGTGTTATATTGGAAATCAGGGAGCTAAACAGAGGACGCATTAATCAGTAAGCCAAATTTGGAGTCTTTATTACGCCGGTGGTCTCAGATAAGTTATCTCCAGAGTCTGAGCAAACTAATATGGAGGAAGCTTTCCCTTTATACCTTCCCAGTTCCTTTGTCTGCCAAATATGGGGTTTCCAGACCTTTAGCAGGCTTTACAAAGAGCCCTATGTAGTGGGAGATATTTTGCAGGAAGCTTGTAGCCTTGAGCACAGTACCATTTAGATAACTCAAACACACCTGGCCTGGCAGTAACCAGGGATGGCAGCAGAGCGGCTTGCAAGGCCAGGTGATTGAGCTTCTTTTCCCTATTATTTGAGCAAGCGTGTTTACAGAACCAAGAATAGCAGAGTGAATTCATAGAACAAAGGACCATCATTGTTTAGTGGAAATTTTCAAATAGCAGTTTTTGCAACATCGAGGTTACGGGAGCAAGATGGAGTGCCTGTGCTTCACAGGAAAGGACCCCATTAATCTGAATCTACAGGTTCAGCTGCCAAGATTGTGTTTCCAAGGTGAGAACAGGGAACACCAGCCTCCTGTTCAGAATCCCTTCGTAATAGGAGCCCAAGCCGGTCTTGGTGCCTTTAGGTGTTGGCAGGAATGGGGTCTGCAGGTTTGCTGTTCCCGGGAGGCACCTGGGTATTAGGACACGCGTCTCCTCTTCTCCGGGGATGGGCTGGGTGGAGAGCCGCCTCCATAGGACCTGGTCAGAGAACAAAAGAAAAGGCAGCCCTTTGTTGAGCAAGAAAGAGTGAATCAAACACTGTTTACAGAGATAGCTCTGTTTGGAAACCATATAGTCTATTTCCAAAGAATTTCTGAGCTGCGTGGACTGTACTTTGACCTGGAGATAAGAAGGTGGAGGTGACCCAGCCTGCCTCTTGCAGGATCAGGGATCAAGCCTGCAACCCGGGCATGTGCCCTGACCTGGAATTGAACCGTGTCTTCCTGGTTCATAGGTCAACGCTCAACCACTGAGCCACAGCGGCTGGGCAGAGTTTCTCTCTCTTGCTCACTGAGTTCTAGGCCCAATGGCTGGGCTGGCCTTGTGTAAAGTTTTTGAAACACCCACCCCGGGGTCTTTGCATATTGTTTCCTCTTCCCAACACATACCATCCCCACTCTCTTCTGACCTAAGTCAAAGTATCCCCCCTCCTCCAAGAAGCCTTCCTCACTGCCCAGAGTGGGACCAGGTCTTCCTTTACAATCTAATCATGTTCCCATTTTCCTTCCATGGAACATATTCCAGCTGGTAATCGTATTTTAGTGCCTGTTTGTTTCGACCTTGCCTTGGTGTTAGGGTCGAGGTGTGTATGGTCATTTCTGTGTGGCTAGATTAGAACCTAGCACAGCCCCTGGCAGGTACCTTGATCACGGTTGTATCAGGCATTGCTGGAGGAAAGGATGGGACCTTGGAAGCTAATGACTCATGGGCTGGTGAGCTGGGTAACTTCTAGATCTCTCCTGCCTCACCTTCCCTGCCCTGTTCCCGGGAGGATGCTTCAGTGGCCTCCCTTGGCCTTGCTCTCGGCCCTGTGGTTGAGTTCAGTCAATGAGAGGCTCCTCATTAAGCTCAGAGTGTAGGAGGAAGGCTTAGAGTATTTCTACCCAGGCTCCCTCCCATCTGTGCTGGCATTGGGCAACATTGCACTTCTCTCCTGAGGACTGCAGCTTCTCTCAAGCAGCTCCCTCCCATGGCCCCAGCTCCTTCCACATTCCTATGACAGCTCTCTCCCTCCCTCCCTCCCTCCCTCCCTCCCTCCTGGCTTCAGGCCACCAGGATGACAGAGCTTCCAGCTGCTGGTGAGTCCTCTCCACCTCTGTAACTAGTCCCTTTGATACGCCCTTTGAGCGGGCCATCTCTTTGCCTCTAGAGCCCCTCACAGGTGCAGCTGGACACTGGTCTCCTCTCACCCCCCCGAGTGAGGATGTGGGTCAGAGGCCTGGGGTCCCTCTCGAGTATTATCTTGGCTCTGGGCACCTTCCTCTCTTCACTCCATAATGAGGATGTCGGCCCTTATCCAGGAAGGTTCAGAATTGAGTCGTTATTGGGTTTCTGGTTTTGCAGCCCACACTACACTGAGTGGCCAGATTATTATGCCCACCCTGTCAGTACAATGAAGTGAATTAGTTATGCAAATAATAATAATAATAAAACCTTGAGAGTATTTGCTTAGGAAGTTTTCCATATTCAGTATTTTTGGAAGTACCAATGAAGTACTCATGGGGTGGTCATAATCACCTGGCTATCAGTGTAGTAGGAGCCAACCTATTCTATGGTTTGGTTGTAGTTTTTGCCAAAGGTTTAGTACATTATCTTCAAATAGTCAGTGGGTCCCATCACCCATGCCCTCCTGGTTCCTGCCACAGATTAGTCCAGTAATCAGGGAACTGCTCGCCTGAGTGGCGTTTCCTCTGGTCAACAGCTACCAGGTCCTACTGGGGTCCTCCCAGGGTTGGGATGTTCACCAGGCTCCTAGACCCCAGTGTCCCCTGGGTGGAAACCAGGAGTCAGATCTTCGATGAGAAAAAAAGAACTTTGATGAGAAAAAGAAGTTATATCTTGGTGTTCACTGAGTGAAACTTGGGCTTGCGTTCATGAATGTAGGGAACACACCACAGCCATCCCTGTCACCTTAGATCAGTAGAAATCTCACACCTCCTCACACTCATGACATTCG